CGCCGGCCCCGGGCGGCAGCAGCGCGGGCGCGTGGTCGTTCTCGTCCAGCACGAACACCTGCAGCGTCACGGTGCTGCCCAGAGGCGGCGCGCCCGCGTCGCGCGCGCTCACCTGGAACTGCAGCAGCTCCAGCTCCTCGCGGTCCAGGGGCTGCAGCGCGTACACGCGGCCGCTCTCCGCGTGCACGGACACGTAGCTCGACAGCGCGCGCTCGCCCGCCCGCCGCTCCACCAGCGAGTAGGACACCAGCGCGTTCTCCTGCGCGTCCCGGTCGCGCGCCGACACCGTGAAGATGTGGCAGCCGGGCGGGTTGTTCTCCTTCACGAACACCGTGTACTCGCGCTGCGCGAACTCCGGCGCGTTGTCGTTCACGTCGGCCACCTCCACGGACACGCTGGCTGTGGCCGACAGTGAAGGCGAGCCCCTGTCCCGGGCTGTCACCACCAGCTCGTAGTTCGCCACCTTCTCGCGGTCCAGGGCGCTGTCCAGCACCAGTGAATAATAGTTCTTGAACGTGGACATGATCTTGAAGGGAACTTCGGGAGTTAGAGAACAGATCACCTGTCCGTTGACACCAGAGTCGCGGTCGGATACACTAATTAACGCAATGACGGTGCTAGGCTGAGTGTCCTCTGGTACTGGGAGAGACAGGGAAGTCACGGCGACTTCAGGGGCGTTATCATTAGCATCTAAGATTTCTACCCAGACTGTACAGTGACCTGCCATCGGGGGATTTCCCTTATCTGTGGCCTGTACTTCAATTTCATAAAACTTGTTTTCTTCATAATCTAAAGTTCCATTGACCCTCATCTCTCCATTATTTTTATCTATCGTAAATACGGGCTTTCCATTGGGCTTAACCGACAAGATCGAGTATGTCACCTCCCCATTGACTCCTTCATCTCTATCTGTAGCGTTCACCTTTATCACAAACGTTTCTTTAGCTGCGTTTTCCATTAATCTCACCTTGTATTCTGATTGCTCAAATTCCGGATCATTGTCGTTAATATCCAAGACACAGACCAAAAGCTGGACTGTGCCAGTTAGCTCTGGTTTCCCCCCGTCTGTAGCCGTCAGGAGCAAAGTAATTTCCGGAGTTTTCTCCCTGTCTAGAGACTTCTTTAATGTAAGTGACAGTCTATTGGTTTGCTTATTATTTGTTGGTAATTCTAAAGAAAAATACTCATTTTGACTTAGTCTGTAAGTCAATAGAGCGTTCTCTCCTGTATCCGCATCCGAGGCGCCCTCTAGAGGAAAGTGGGAGTCAGGCTGCTTAGATTCCGAAATCAGCAGCTTTTGTTCTCTGAGCGAGAACACAGGTGGGTTGTCGTTAATGTCCCTCACCTCCACCTCCACGTGGAAAACCCGCAGCGGCCTCTCCACGATCACCTCCAGGTGGATGCTGCACTCCGCGCGGCGCCCGCACAGCTCCTCGCGGTCGATCCGAGAATTCACGAACAAAATGCCATTCTGCAGATTCACCTCCAGAAGGTCCCCGCGGCCTTTGGGCGCCACGCGGAACAGGCGCGGCACCAGCTCCGCCAGCTCCAGCCCCAGGTCCTGCGCGATGCGGCCCACGAAGGCGCCGTGCTTGGCCTCCTCGGGGACCGAGTAGCGGACCTGGCTGATCCCAGCCTCCCAGAGCGAGAAGAGCAGAAGCGACAGGAGCAGTTGCTGAGTGCCCAGTCCCCCTCCTTGATACCCAAACATTGCATACGACATTTACTTGCAAAATAAGGTTCTTCACACTTACAGTACCAGAGACTCCAGTTTCGGGTTTTAAATCTCGCTGGATTTTTGAGACGTTTCAAAGGATCGGTTAACAGTAGCGACCGGCATGATGGAGTCGTTTCGTATGGGGAGTTTCTGGATAGTCAGACCAGCCCTCGAATGAGCTATTTCCACCAAGTAAAGAGCGACACCTTGTGCCTGAAATTGTGAGTACGGTACACTGCATCCAATACCTCAGAATTTTACTTAAAGAGAAAAAATAACTAATTTTCCATGTTTCGTGCTATTTTAACTCCGAGGTATTATTTTCAAAGTGCTTATTTATGGAATATTCAGATTTTAAATCATATTAAAATTGATGACATATGGGAAACGGCATTCTAGTCTTGACTAACATCAAATTTAAATTTTTGTTCCTATGTTTGATTTTGAGTTATAAAATGATTCTTTTACTTATCTACATATATACAAAGAAACCAATTCTAGGTGTAATTTTATGGAAAACTATGGTTAAACACTTCCTATAGATATTTTTCCTTATATAAAAATATTATCAAATTTAAACTGTTTTTCTTCTAGTCTTCCTTGTTACTTTCACTGCTAGGAGACTCAGGATGAAATTAAAGTTTTAATAACAACTATTTAGTCTTTAAATCCTGCATATTGTATTCCCACCTACGTGCACTCGCCTACTCACATTTTCCTTAGTTCTGATTCTTTATTATTTACATTAAATTGTGATCTTACTATAAACACCTTTATATCCATTGAAGAGCAATAAGAAAACCAAAAATATATTTTCAAATTTGGTAGTTTAAAACATAGATTTCACAAGGTAAAAGTATATTGATGTAAATTAAATTTGTATTTCATGTAAATTTTTAATTCTCATGTAAGTTGCATTGCTCACAGTATAATATGAGGTATCAAAATGACAATTAGTGTAATGGTATCAATGATATGACAAAAGTCATCTTTCAACTCTACAATGAATTTCATTATCATTCAATGAAATAAAAATCACCGTGGAAACGTCTATACCATATTGGTATTTCCAAGTCATCTACATTGGTTTTTGTATATCTAGTCAAGATATATTCATGAGAATAGATGACCTGCTTCTTGTTAAAAGAACTTTTGGTTTAAGACGATAAGTTTATCCAAAACAAGAGAAATGATTTCTAATTGTATCTCCTTTATATGCCTCATAGTGCACTAAAAAAAAATAATGAACAATCAAACAATCTAACCAAATGGCAAATGACTTCAGTGTTTGTAGAAATTCAATTTCATAAAGTACTAAGTAGAAAATGGAAATAACTGATGTGAGTTTTTGTTGCCTGAAGTTGTAATTTAGATACATGTCCTTTGTTTTCACATAGCCTTGGGACATAAGGGTGGGGGAAGAGCATACAATGGAAGTAGAAGAGTAGGAAGTGACTCAGAATATATCACTCTAGCTTGAGCATTTTGTTGTATAGTTTAGACGGTTCATCTCCAATCTAAAAATATTGCGATGACATAAGAAAAAAATCACTAGTATATTAATTTATGTGCTAATATTTTTATTTTCCTTGAATATACACACATGTGGATAAATACAGGGTGAGGCAAAAGCAGGTTTACAGCTGTTTGTATAAAAAATAATATAACAATTAATAAATAATATAAGAATAAACTCTGTTTTGCATACTTAACAGATGTAAAGCTACTTTTGCCCCACCCTGTATTCTATTTCTAATTTCAGATCTTGTTCCACTTTTTTCAAATTTACGCTTTTCCTGATATTATCATTCTGCTGGAACTCTTATTAAAGTAATGCAAATTCTTTCTTTAAAACCTATTAAAGCAGGCTCATCATCTTTTGTTTTTCTTTCGCTAATCCTCACCTGAGGATATTTTTCTATTGATTTTTAGAGAGAGGGGAGGGAGG